CAGCTAGCAATTTCTACCTATGGCAGGCCATATAGCACCAAACATTGCCTTGCCCATCAACATTTGTATGCACGTGAATGGAAACTTATCTTTGCCTCTATAAAATTGTGAATATGCACACTTTGGACCGAAATTAAAAATAACCTGCAAATCGAATACGTAGCAAACTCATCATCAAGAGCAAGTAAGGGTGTGCTATGGAATTAAAAGCACGTGCAATAAAACAGGTATCCCAATACTACCTTATAAAATTGCTAAGTTTTTTCTGGTGCTCACTCCACTGAAGGAAAAGCAGTTCCAACTTCTTTTGTTCAGCTTTCGCAGCAACACGAGCTCGAAGAGTCTGATTTACCAGTTAAGTTGTGTATATCAGATCACTACTACACAAGAATGCTCTCTGGAATAGTATGTAAAAGAGAATAAACCGTAGCCGACTACTTACAAGATCTCTTCTCCTCTTTTCAGTCAGAATTTCACGCTCTTGCAGCCTCAGTTGTTCGCTTTCTTCACGAGCCTTTTGCTCAGCCTATACAAGTAGAAGGGATACAGCACACAAACACTGTTAATGCACTGCAGTGCTACAAATGAGGTTAAGAAGTAAACTCACTCCTAACCTGACATATATACCCACACCTAACATCATAGTACTAAAAATTAGACCCAATTCCAAAATATAAATCATATCTAGATAGAATTATGCTACTCAAGTCAAAAGAAAGTAGAGGAAACTGCTATCTTGGATAGAATATGAAGATTATCAAATCCAAGTACAATAAGTGACATTTCTGTCAATAAACAGCAACCGCTTGTTAAGATATCTCATATCTAGTTTTTTACTTCATGAAACAAGCCATGTGAATATGAAGTGTGTGCTTACCTTTTGTAGAGCAGCAGACCGTCGGGCATATGCATCTGTTCCAGAAAGCTGCTTATCTTCTTTTCTGAACTTCTGCAGAAGGGAAAAGTAAGCAGACGAGCGAGTATACAATAACTAGAATAAAGGACACATCTAATATGGATGAAGCTAATCCATTAGAGACTATAGAACATGAGCAACAACTACGTCCATGTAGTTCTTAACAAATACCTCCAAAGTCCCTAGAAGATTCCCCAGCATTCTTCTGTTCCTATTAACCAGACTAGGATCCTCATTCTTAGGTAAAACCCTCGGTGCAGGCTCCGGCAATGCAATAGTTTCAAAACCCTGATAAGAGCACAGAGTCGATGACCATTAAGTAAACGGTTGCAAGTCGCCTCTTTCTCATAAAAGGAGTATGTGGATTTGAAATTTTTAATACCTTCCTAGTCCCTTTTGGTTCGGCATCCCTCTGTGACCAATTTCCACGACGCTGACTAGATAGCTTCCTGTCACTTTGATCAGACTTACCATTTCCAGCAACCGAAACTTGCTTCTCGTTGCCATCATCAACAGGCATTTCTTCATCCTTACTAACATCTTCTTCTTCACCTTTGACCTAATTTCCCCAATAAAGTTAATAAACTACTTCTTACGATCAACTAATCAGAATGCATTATTAGTTTCCGAAGTGAACAAAATACCTTAACAACTGCAGAAGATAATCTCCGTTTTGCAGGAGGCTCATCGTCTACGTCATTCCTCTCCGCCTTCAAAACACACACACACAAATCCGATACAATCAATCAACGCAAAATTTCCTACATCTCAAAGAGGAGAAACAGAGAAAAAAAGAGAAAATTACAGGTCGAGGTAAGACTCTACGGCCTTGGTTACGAGGAGCTACGCCTGAGACGACTCCTCGTCGGAGACCACGAGGATCACGAAGCCTCTCCGTAATCTGATCAGGAAGTAGCATAAACGAATAGCCGTCAAAAGATGAGATTTAGAGAAGAGACTGAAACTGAGGAACGAGATTTAAGGTGGAGATAATACCTCGCGCTGCTGACGGTGAAGCTCATCGATCTCATGCCGTAGCTCTTCCGCTGTTTTCTCTGAGGCGGTGGTGTCTCCCATTGTCGCCGCTGCTGAAGAAATTGGACGGAAACCCTTGAACACGCCAAGAAGAAACGAAATCTGTATATGGGCTAAAAAATTCGGTTTATGTAGAACAGTAGTTTCGGCCTTATAGACGGTTAGAGTCCACTATAAGTTCAAGACGAAAAAAATCCCACTAAAGAATTTTTTTTTTTTTTGTATAAAACAAAATTTTGATGAAATTTATGCTAAATTTTCTGAAAATTTCTGAAACTTTTGTTTTTTTTTTATGTTTCCGTTTTGGTTGTTTGAGAATTGTTATGAAGTTATGAACTCAATTACAATTTTTAGGGATTTTCTTTTTGGATAACGAAACTAAAAGTTTTAGATAGAAAGTGA